ACATGAACTATGTTAGCTTTAGTTGTCACTTCACTGATCATTAATTCTCCATTATGATTCTACTGTGATCACACTAATGACAACAAAACAGTCCACTTTAATTACCATTTTGTAATAATTATTCACGGAGGAATATGTTGTATATTTTGAAGTAACACTAATACTTGTGCAGAGCTACTGATCTGTAAAGAGCTGCCAAAATATGTGTGTGTTTTTTTTAAGCCCCCGGGCATCATCTTAAGGAACAATGAATTCTCCATGAATATTACATTTCTTCCAAATGAGATGCCAATTATTTTTATCAACAACTTCCATCCCTCTGTAAGTAAGAACAAAGTGATGATCACAAAGAGAACACACATCTCTCTCATACATCCCTAATATGCAATCAAGCAGAATGTCAGGCTTGTTTTGTGCTGACACCCTCAAGTGATAATTGTGTAAACAAAAGGCGCATCTTTCATTCAAATATTATAAAGAAATAGATGAAAAGGGATAACAAAAGAATACAAACAGTGTAACTGAAACTGAAAGAAGAGCCACTTTGGATTGGAAGACGTTCAGAAGAAAGGCGTCTGATGATTTGGAAATGTCACCGGGGCCTCCTGCGACATCGGGCGCTTTTACAGAAGTGATCATTAAATGCGTTTGTGTTCACACATCTGGCTCTTAAACTGAGCTACTGTAAAAAGGAGACGAGGAGGGGCTGAAAAGGGAAAAAGAGGAGGAGGAGGAGGAGGGTTGAAGAGACGGAGGAGCAGTGAGAATGGCATGAGGCTTATTGGGGCCAACAGAGGGCATTGTTATCTGTAATATCCATTCAAATGTGCCGTATCAGATGCAGTGAGTGCGGCGCTGCTCAGGGATGGAAATTAGTCTTGTTCCCCACTCAGCCCTGGTCACACCAAGGGCACATTCAGACAAATGAATTTAAGAAGACAATACATATGGAACGCCAATGATACACAGGGCTGCAGAAGCGTGGATCCGCGTGCTTCCAGCTCGCTCTCACTTTTGTCCCTGTAATGCTAAACAGCTGTCGGCTGTTTTTATTTCCACGCAGCTTTCAGGGCGATTTTCACGTTTGATTTTCGCGTGGCGCGCTGAAAGCCATCTCGCTGTTCGCCCGGCGCTGTAATGGTTACACAAAAATCAGACAAAAAGAATGTAACCGTCCATTTAACAACCAAAACAAATGTGATAACAAGTCTGACCAGCTGCACGTTGACATTATAATACAGAAAAAAATAAAATAAAAAAAAACCCCACAACCTCTAAGCAAGACACTACAGGAAAAAACATCATGTTGCCATGCCTTGTTCCATTTCAAAATGTTGGGTTATTTTGCTTCCATCACGTCTTCTCTCAGACTAGTGGAAAGAAAACATCCAAAATACACATTTGTTGCTCATTTTACTACACTTTGAACGTTTTAGAGTTCAATTACAGAACACATCCCCTCGTACTCTGTGCAGAAAAACCTCCACTGCAGCAGCACTTACCGATACGAAACTTTCCTGTTTGCTTCCTGTCTATATTCTGAAGGTTTGTACTGAGATATTTGCTCATACATCACTGATATCTGGATTTATAGAACATTTTATTTAAAGAAAAACGGGTGAAATGGATTTTTTTTCTAGCTGTTGACAGTATTTCTGACTTATGGAGTGATATTCAAAGCCCCCTTTACCATGCAAACACAACGAAACTCGGATTTTGAGGCTCACTTCGTCTAATTTTTAGATTTCTGTTCCGTATATTAAAGCAAATTAGTGCATTTGTAAATCTATGTAATGCCACTTCTCCATATTGAAACATAACATTTCAGAAAATGTGTAAAAACCAGTTGTCTTAATGTAAAGAATCAACTGGGGAAGTCCCGACTAACTACTTGTGTGATGCTCAGTAGTGTCTTTCATTGTCTAATTGGACACTCGTGGATCCAAGAAAACCAAATAAACTCCAACTAAAGTTACCATAAGATCTAATCAAATAAGGTGTACATACACTGTGCACACGTATCTAGTAATAACATTAATGGTGAGTAGAGTAACATGGATGAGCTTCGGTTGCCATTATTATGTAGAAATGACTTTTAAGCTTGAATATTAGTTCACATCTTTGTAAGAGAAGTCATACTGGCTTATGTTGACTGCAAGTAAGGAAACAAATTAAATGTTGGACAAGCAACACCAGAAAAAGTCTTTTAATTGTGCACTAAAAGTTGAAGAACAGCTTGTAGCACTGGTTGGAGTTCAGATATCCATATGTACTGATATTATAAAGAGATTTACAGGCTTCTGGGGCAGACTGCTGGGAAATAAACAAATATTTTCTGGCTTATGGAATGATAGAAAAAGAGATCCGACTGTAAGAACCTTTGACTTTAATATGTAAACTGAATGAAACTAGAATTTCAAAGCTGGCTTTGTGCAACAGTTCTGAAAACTTGAAAAAAAATGAAGGCCTCAGTGTAAATAATCAACACGGTAAGTTTTATAAAGTTTGTTAAAGTTTTTGTTAAAGAATGTCCTTAACTTAAGCCTGTAACTGAGTCAATGTGAGAGACAATCCAACAATCCATCCAGGACAGTCCAGAAATGTTCTGAGTTGAGGAATAAAACTGAGGATCCACCCAAACCAGTGTATGTGAAGTAGTTCTGTAATCTTATCTCGTGTGACACGAAGATTTAAAAAAGTCAATAAAAGTAATACTTACAAGAAAAATATGGTGTTTTGTTGCCATTTTTCAACATCAAATAGAGCCAATGTTACGACATCAGCCAGGAAAAATGAAAATGTCATTTCGACTCAAACCACCTCTCACCTGCTCCTACTTGGCAGACTTTGTACCGTCGCAGATCTCTCCCTTCGCTGTGATAGCGCAGATAGGAACACGGATTATGCTATCTCGCTATCCTCTGTGCCATCACACTGGGAGACACTGTGAAGTGTAGAGGACATCAATCTTGTGTATTTACGACCTGTGCTGCAGTCAGCTATCTGTTAGGATGCCCTGCCCTCCTGCTCCTCCTGATCCTGTCGGCGCAAAGTCTCAGGTGCTTCTGATGCCACACGGGACGTGGTTGGACGACGCTGTTTCTCAATCAGCCTGTTATGTCAGAGGCTGTCAGGAAGAGCTTGCTCATAGAAAATATGAGTGTTCCGGACAAAAGGCTGTAACTCGACACTGGAAATCCCACTGTTGTTGATGCTTTTGTGTGCGGATTTGTTGTCTTCTTGAGCTTTCGTCGCGACGACTCGCATTTTGGCCGCAGTAATAGAGCGAGATCATTAATTTGGTGTTGCAAATTGTCATCTCACAACAGTCCACTTCTATTACCGCGGCTGGAGCGCTAATGCCATTTGACAGCACATAAAATAAGTTTAAAAAAAAATTAAAAAACGAGCTGAAGTATGGGCACCAACAGACGGGAGAGGGTGAGGGAATCAAGCGGTCTTCTTGATTCCTCCTGAAAGGCTTCGGCTACAATTGCACAAGACGGGCCTTGTGAAGAAACCATTGACCCATCGACTGCTGTGATCCATGTCTGACTGACATCAATACACATTCATCTCTGCTTGTTTCACCTCAGGCTAGTAGGCCACGGGCTACAGTGGCTGGCATGAAATCTGGACAGACAACAAGCATCACTTTGTCTTCCACGCCTGCGCTATCGCCGCCATCAAACACCAGAGGTGGCGATCTCGCAGACCTTTCCGCTTTGTCGCGAGTCAGTCACTGTTAACGGGGGCCTCCGAAATGTCACCGATCGCCGTATCTGGTGCGCGTAAGCCCTCCATTACACACCCATTTGGAAGGGAAATGGGGAATGCTTCCTTAACAGTCTTACTTTTGTGAGTCACCACAATAGACAGAGCTGCGGAGGCGGTTTAATAAATCCATTGTTTGTGACACCTGATGCTTCTTTACCTCAGTGCACCGGCACGCACATGCACATAAATACTCATAACTTAAAGGCTGAGATTAGCAAAGATCTCTGTGCTTCTGTTTTCATTTTTCCTCTATAACAACTTCATTAATATTCACCACTAAATTTGGATAAATCCCTCCACAGAGCCGATCTTAAGCCATCTTCACTTTTCTTTCTTATGAATCTTTTCTGTTTAAAAGCCACATCCTTCCTCCTCCTCCTCCTCCTCCTCCTCCTCTCTGGGCTCTTTTTAATTATAAACTAATAATCACAGACAGCATGATCTCTATCTCCTGCACATATACATACATAAAATACTTGAGGTTTATTACCTTGTTTCTGCTGCCTGGGACACACGCATGCAGCCATAATGCTCTGCCAATTAGCCATAAAGAAGAAACATTAGTCCTCAGACTGGATATTGGAGGGTGCTGCTGTTTGGAAATGTATTGAGCCAATGTGCTTCATGTGGGGATTTAGGACTGGGGTCAGAGCAGCAGCAGAAAAAATATTCTGTCTATACTGCATAAGTCACTTTTTGCTTTTAGGAATCACAGTGCTGAGAGGCGCTTTGTGGTTTTCATTTCATGCAGCCTTTAAACATTATTGAAGATGTGATTGCAGCTGAGTGGCAGCAGCGCAGGATGGAACTGGATCCTCAGACTGATGAGCGCTCTAATAGGCCTGTCTAATGTATCATCGATGGATTGACTGCCGTCTCCGAGGAGACATTTCAGAGGGATTCCAGCAGATGAATTTCAGAAAAAAAAGAAAATATAATATCCCTGCTTTGTTGGTGCGTGTGAGCCAGACTGAATATTGGCCAGTGGAAAGACGCCCTCTTCTTGCGCGGCTGGGATGTGCAAGGAGGAGGATTTATTCCAAGAGGAATACAGACGAGCAGTTATATGCTTCACATGCTCCCTCTCGCTCTCTCTCTCTCTCTCTCTCTCTCCCTCTCCTCAGCCAATCTGCGCGCAGTGACGCTGCGCAAAAGGCAGGATCTAGTCTTGGCTTCATCATCATATTTAACACACCCACCCAGATTCACACATGCTACAAGAGCTACGTTCTCTCTCACCCCCGTTACACTCCCAGAGGCTGGCCGGCCCCGCGGGGGGAATTTCTGTCTCCTGCTACCTGTGAAAATCGCTCGCCTCGGGTGATTAGTCCGGACTCGATGTGACAGAATTACGCATCGTGGATCGCTGAGGTTTGAATGAGAGCGCACACACTTTCTCCCGGGGACTTTCCCTGAAGAGAAAAAAAGAATTGTGAATGTGAAGTGCTGCACTTCTCGTGTATTTTTTTTTCTCCGGGCTTCGGCTGCTGCTTTCCTTCCTGCGCAGGATCGAGGTTGGACGGTGTGACCGATGCGCGCAGTCGGAGCTCTTGGAATCATTTTTTTTTTCTTCTTCTCCCTCAGCTGCTTTTGGATTCTACTCACTTCTCCGTGTTCCTCCCGAAATATTTGACAGGAGAGAGTAAAGCAGGCCAGTGTGAAGAGGATGAGGCTTGCGCAAACCGACCGTTGGTCTGAACCGACTCGACCTGCTCTACCTGGACTCTTGCGGATGATTTTGCGCTTCTGAAATCTCGCTTTAAAAAAAAACCAAACAAACCAAAAAAACGAATTCGCGAATCGGGCAGGACTCTGATGTTGAAAATACAAAAGGTTGAACACTGAATCCTTTACTCAAGACGGCCAGTGAAGATGGGTCCTACGTGTTTAATGTATATTTCATTAGATTGGCGTCCAGTCTAGTCAACATCATCAGCGATGTAGTCAGCCTCTTCATCTGCGTGCTCATCATTTGCAGTAAATACTCACATCTGCTCAAACGGGAGACCATGAAGATGATCCTCCTGCGCAAATTTCGGGTTCTGATCCTCATGGTGTTCCTCATTGCGTGCTCCATGCACATAATGATAGACTTGTTACCGAAGCTGGAGCGCCACGGCAACAGCGGCTGCTCCTGCTCGCACACGCCGAGCGAGGAGCCCCAGAGCTGGGGGAAGCAGGGCTGGCCTAACAAGCACACTCTGCGGATCCTCCAGGACTTCAGCAACGAGCCCAGCTCCAACGTTTCCTCCCATTCCCTGGAAAAGATCCCGGCTGCGGGCGACAAGACGCAGGCGTTCAGGAGGCTGGAGCACCACGGGCAGCAGCTGCGCGGTGACAGGAAGAGGCAGTTCATGCAGGACGCGGCGGTGACCAAGAACATGCCGGTGAAGGGTTCAAGGTTGTCCGCTCTCTACGAGCATCCCTTGTATAAAAGATCTCCTCCGCCTTTGACAGACGAGGACACGCTGTTTAACGTCAACACGGACATCAGATTTGATCCCAAAGCTGCAGAGGATCAGGCATGGTAAAGGGACTCCCAAGTTTTAAAGCATCAACTCTGATGCGCTAAATATTCATGATTAATCAGCCAAACATCACAGCTAAGGGTTTAGAATGCATGTGCAATTAATGTAAATCTGCATGATGATCTGTTGCACAATGTCTCTTTCCTCTTCATTTCCTCCTCCTCCTCCTCTTCCTCCTCCAGGACTGGTGAAGGCAACATGGAAGAGTTCAGCCCAACAGGGGAGCTGACGGCTGACTCCTACCCCAACTGGCTCCGCTTCCACATAGGGATTAATCGATACGAGCTCTACTCCAGACACAACCCGGTCATCGACGCTCTCCTCAAGGACCTGGTCACCCAGAGGATCACCAGTGTGGGTGAGTCATGGAGATCCACGCATGGAGGAGGAGGAGGAGGAGGAGGAGGAGGAGGTGATTTGGCGAGCAGCAGGAGGGAGTCAGTGGAGGATGGAGGGTCAGAATTACACTTTACTCTGCAGAAGCCCAGCTGATGTTGCAGTTTGAGGCTGACACGGGTCGTCGTGGGTTACAATTTGGGGTGTGTTGGTCTGTAGCTGAAATAAGTCGCCCACCTGTCTAGCATCAGGCAGCAAAGCTGGTGAGGAGTCCAGTGTCTGGCTTAAATACACTTGAACAGGTCAGTGTCTATTGATGGACACTGATATCGATTGTTAAGGCAATCAAGGTGTCTCCTGTGCCATGCAGGGAGCTCATAGTTCAGGTTAGAACATCTGAGAGACGTGTTTAGAGCTTCAAACACCCAATTTTTCACTTCTATCTTGTTTTTTTCCAGCTTTATGAGATAATATTTGGTTATTTAAAGGCTGAGCCGGGGTCCACGATGATATTTTCATCACACAAAAACACACCCAAACATCCGCTTCTGCACAACAATGCACATTTTGCCTCTCTAGTGTTGCAACATACTGATAATAAGCTCTTTGTCCTCCCAGATCCTCTCTGATAAGTTTTGCGTCTGTAAACAAGTGGAAAAAAAAGAAAGAGAACGCATTCAGAATTGGGACGCACAATATTGGATTTTTTTTTTCTTCTGTTTTCCAAGATCTGTTGCGCAAATGTTTTGAACAATTGCTGATATTGATACTGATGTAAACATGTTTTTGTCTCCTATTGGCAAAGAAAATCAGGTCTCTCCTGTAGCAGAATCAGCATATTGTGATGCCTGCTCTTATCGTGATGGCCCTCTGGCAGGTGCAGACATACAACACAATGCTTTTCGAGACAGATTTATGGAGCAAAATGAGAAAATTCTAAAGTAATTTTTAAACCTTTAGCCTCACAGATGTTATCTTTGTGCCGATATTTCAGCAATGACATCAAGATGCCTCTTGTCTGTCGTGTTAAATTAGTTTTATGAGGCAAAACCAGAGCTACAGCGATAAAAGTCATCCTTTAAGAACCACACATAGGCTTTTCCAAGGCGTTTATCGCAGATCTATGGCTGTGTAACCGAATACGACTGCGAATTGGAAAAATGCCCAGTTGCAACCGAAATTCCATTTGTTGCTCGTCAATTTTCAGCAAGTGTGCATTGAGCCCCGCTGAAGTGACTGAGAAGAAATACTGCCTACAGAGGAAGGAAAAAGGCCGACTGAGCCGTGTCTGTAAGGCTTTGTACCTCCCAAATGGCACAAAAGGGAGCCTAAATAATCACAAAACTAGTTTTACCTTCACACAACAAGGTCAGTGTGGTGCAACAGGAGTCCAAAGTGGAATGCGCCCCTGCAACACTCCTTATCTAGAATCTAAAAGCGAGAGGAGGAGGAGGGGGCGGCTCCCTGACTGACAAGTGTGCACCTCGCGGCTTCAGACGGCGACAACGTGAACGCACTCCTCTCATACGCAAGCACACGACAAGAAGGAAGTCAGCTGCAGGCCATCACCCGAGGCCCGTGAACCTGATCAGCTCCCGCTTTACGAGGGACAATAAAACGGTTCTATCTTCTCTCATGTGCTTCCACTGAGCGTCACATCAAGAGACACACCTGGTCTCGATGCAAATCTGCGCAGCTACGTCACGGTTTCAATCAAATCTGTGGCTTTTGTGCTTGAGTGACAAGCATGCCGTAGCTTTTTACAGAAGACCTTGCTGAAAATGCAAGAGGTGATAATCCAAGCTAGGGCGGTTATATTGAATCTATTTCTGCTTTTATTTTTTATTTTTTAGGGGGGATTGTCTTCCTTTTTGGCTCGGTCCAGCTCCCACATTCCAGGAGCGCTTGTCGACTCAAGGTCGCCCGTCTTGCGTTCGCTGTTGAATAAAAAAAAAGAAAAATGGATTTGAGATTTCAGGTTCATCTGCCAACGACAAAAACGTCACCGGCCCGTAGCAAAGATTAAAAACTGTGAGCGAGATTTAGAAAACTAGCATCCCTCCTTGGTTACTAGTTGAAGAATTATATTTCTTTCTTCTCCCTCTTTCTAGTCGAGATGTTCTCTAATTTTCTCAGATTTTTATTTTTTTTTCTCCATCTTGCTTTCCGTCTGTCAGCCTTGGGTGGATAGAGGAAGCAGTTCTCAGCATCTCTTGCCAGCTAAATACATGGTGGCTCGGTAATTACAGAGTCTTAACACAGGCCTGGGGCAGAATACCAATAGAAGCCAACAGCAGTCGTATATTATCTAAACTTGAGGATAGGACTTCTTGGATGCATTATTACGCTATAGCCTCGTGCATTGATGAAGACACGACGTGCAAGAGCAGCAGATATGATGGATGTACTGCAGCTGATAGGGAAAGTCTGACTTTTTTTTTTTTTTGCAAAAGGAAGCCTCTACGGTTTGTGTGTGGAAGTCTTATTTCCAGTGAGCCTGTGTGTAATTGCTCTGCATGCATGAGTTTCTAGTAGTTACAGTTAGAGGATTTCAAAACCTCCTCGTGAACACACAAAACTTCACCCCAGCAGCAGGTGAGGTCACGCAAACATCGATCCTTTCACTTCAAATTTTTTTTTCTCTTCAAACCGTTCGCTTGTCCCCCTGATTCCCATATGTAAAAATAAATGAAAACATTGATTGAGGTGCTTGTTCTGCGGCCAAACGCCACCAAAACACAGCCTGCGATCGATGAGCGCAGAAATAACAGGCGCAGCTCTGCTCTTTTTTCTTTTCTTTTTTTTTTGGTGAAATTCAGTGTTTCAGCCCTGCCTGTAGTCCTCGCCCCGGCTCTGAGCCCAGTCCCATGAGTGCCTTTAGACTGCATTATCATGTTCAAAAAGGGAGAAAACATGAAGGATAGAGGGATGAATATAAAAAAAACACACAAAGAGGCAGAGGCAGAGTGGGAGAGAGATAGAGCCTCCAGAGAGCACAGGGAGAGAGTAAACAGCGTGAGGGAACGGGGAAGGGTTGGGCGAGCGCCGGCTGTCCTTCACCCCCTCGCTATCCCTTCCCATCAAACAAACACTGTGACATCGGCTCTCGGTCTTTTCAGAGCGCATAAAGCACGACACGCACAGAGCCGTCACCGCACGTATACAAGCTTACGTACGCAACAGTGCACCTCGCTTACATGGCAGAGGAAATTCATGTTTCGGGCCTCAGCTGGGCCATGAGATGTCTCTCAAATTTATATCAAATCAGTGGTGGCCCAAATTATATTGCGGTTAATACGTATAAAAATAAAAATAAAAAAGAATACTGTTCAGTTTTGTGAAATTTAAATGGACAAAAGTCTGTTTTGTGTTTTCTTGTCCTTATATGCTACTGTTAGTGCCCAAAACAATCACATTAACCCTCTGAACCTATTTATTTTAAAAGATCAACAACAATTGAACATTTATCAGAGCCAGAACCCGTAAAAACCAACAGAATTTTAGGATGTTTAACTCCCCGATCGTCCTTGCTCGTCTTTGATGTGCTGTTCTGTCGGGAAACGTTTCAAATCTGAGCTTAAAAATGTGATATTTCATTAAATTGCTTCATTCCACACACCTCACTTTAAAAAAAAAAATGCCAAAAATAAAATGTTTGCATGAACCAGATTCTACAAAAAAACACAAAATCTGTGATTCTGTGCTCCTCAGTGTAACCGTGGAGCCATTAGTGACTCAGCTGCAACCACAGTCACATTAAAAGAAAAAAAAAACCTCAGGGACGTTTAGACTGAACTGAGCTGAACTGTAGGCTGTAGTATGGAAAGTATGGAAACTAAGGACAAATGTAAATAGTGTTTTTTTTTTTTTTAAATTTGCATGTTTTGTTACCTGTTGTCTCCTGAAAATGGAAAAATGTTGTACATACTGAGTCCGGTTTTTGGTTAAATTCTTGTAAAACTAATAATCGCAGAAATCAAACATTTCTTTTTTTTCTGATTTATATAATCAGAACTTTGTTGCACAAAAGCGTCCTCTCTACTTGTAGCTGTGGCTGTACTGTTTCCATGGAGGTGCAGGACTTTATATTGCAGGGAAAAATGATCCCCCAGTGAGTGAAAATGTGACAGGACCGAAAAAACCCTAAAGTCTGCTTGGGTTTCAGGCTGTTATTATACATGTGTCAGTATTAGTGATGGTGTGTGTTCATCGACCAGATGATTGATTACTTTTTTTTTGCAGCAATCTTTATATTATATATTGATTAATATGAGTGCATTTTGTATAATAGGAAAACACTTGTAAATAATTGATATTTGGACTTATTTATTATGCAAATGAAAGGGAGCTATAGAGATTGATCAGTCAGCCCTGCTGCTGCTGCTGCTGCTTTTGTTTACGTGGAAAATAAGTGAGCTGTGCCTGTTTAGAGCAGGCTGGGGAGACTGGTGAGCACCTGGAGGTAAAAACAGCTACAGCACAACGCAGATAAGAGAAAGTCGGTTGAGCAAAAGTTGAACTGTGGTATAAAACAATGCAGGGTTAGTGTCCACCTGACACTGGACTGGAGCAGACCGATGTGTGGAAACAGACACATAAGAACTGGAGCAGACTTGTGGAGAAGGAGTAGCAGCGGTGAGCCTTAAAACAGAGCAGAAATGAAACAAGTTCACATAAATAACCTCCAAGCATTCTGGTTGTTTCTTCTCACAGTGGATTCATTTTTCACTGCAACATAAACTCCTGCACTTCTATGGTTGGAGTAGAGATAACTCACAACACAGTTATGAGCCCATAAATAAAAATAATGAAAAAAACAACCAATTATATTATTTATTTTACAAACAGTGAAAAAAAAACCTAGCATTAACATGCAAAACATTTTACTGATCGCCCACAGCTGCTACCAATACATAATGAAAATAGTGGCTCTACATTTCATTTATTTATTTTTTATTTTACCTTTATTTTACCAGGTAAGTGGTTCTCATTTTCAATAACGACCTGGTCAAGAGGTGGCATACAAATGAGATGAACAGCAAAAACAGCTTACATGTACAGCACAATACTACAAAACAAATTACGCAAAGACTTGTAAAACAGAGAGGCTAAAAACAGGTGCAGTGGTCCTGAAGTGTTGCTCGAACTGATTTTTTTAAACGACTAGAGCGGTATGTATGAGGTGAGTGTTTGGGAATGTTGAAAAGAGTTTGCTGCAAGGTGGAGCGGTGGTTAGCATCGTTGCCTCGCAGCAAGAAGGTCGCCGGTTCGCGAATTAGAAACATGCCTGTCTAATTGAATGATGAGTTTCAGGGTTAAGAGAGATTAAGAAGACTGGGCCAAGTGTAACATTTAAGCTGTCCCTTTAGTTCCAGGCTGGTTTCAAATCAGGGCTGCAAGGTGGTGCGGTGGTTAGAGACAGACAACCAAGCACACTCACATTCACACCTACAGATAATTTAGAATCACCAGTTAACCTCAACATGTTTTTGGACTGTGGCAATAAGGTCGCTGGTTCGCGTCTCAGTGAGGACACTCGGGATCTTTCTGTGTGGAGTTTGCATGTTCTCCCCGTGCAGCGTGGGTTCTCTCCGGGTTCTCCAGCTTCCTCCCACACAGTCCAAAAACATGTTGAGGTTAATTGGTGATTCTAAATTATCTGTAGGTGTGAATGTGAGTGTGCTTGGTTGTCTGTCTCTGAGTGTAGCCCTGTGATAGACTGGTGAAAAGAGTTCAAATCATTAGCAGCAGAAAACTGGAATGAGGATCAACTGAGAGTGGTGCAGACTTTGGGAATGTGGAGGTTAATAAGACCAGTACATACTATGGATATTTTAATATTTACATTTAAGTTTCCTCCTATCTGCTCTGTGCAAACACAGACTTTTCGCCGCAGCTGAACCACTCATGGAGCACAGAGTTTTTCTAGTTTTGTACAGAGTCTGGTTAATGGTTAATAATGTGATTCTGATGGAATACCATAATTCTGAGCTTACATTTGGTTAATTTTTCCAGCTTCACAGACTATTAGTTCAGAGACCGTTGGAAAGTTGAATATCTGATGATGCTTTCTGCTTTCACAGTTTCTAGCTCTGATAAATGGTGCACTTTTTGGTGATTTGCTAAAAATAAAATGCCTCTCAAAGCTGCAGATTGGTTTTTGGGGTTCTGAGGGCTAAATATCTAATAATACTTTGTATTTTACTAAACTGCACCTTCGCTTTCATAATGTGGACTCACATGCACTAGAGCTATGATGCACATGTAATATCTTTGAAGGTTCTGGCAGCCAATGGTTTGTGTAAGTTAAACTAAACTCCAGTGAGCGCCCACTAAAGCTCGTTTCTGTGGTTTAACAGAAAAACATTTCAGCCGCTGTCAGTTTATGTAAAATTAATACTCGTGTTGTTTGTTTCTCTCCAACAGCAATGAAGTCCGGAGGCACTCAGCTGAAGCTCATCATGACCTTCCAGAACTACGGCCAGGCGCTGTTCAAACCCATGAAGTAAGTTATTCTGCAACAGTCCGTTTTATGTGTGGAAAAAGATAGTTCCCGCCGGCCCTGTAGACCCGTTTCACAGCAGACGTTTTGACTCGTGGCAGTAGGTTAAAGCACAGGTGCGCCAGTGATGTCTCGGTATCATTAAGTGTTCCGGGAAGCCATGACGGTGAGCCGACATGCTCAAAAGCAGGAACTCCCCCTAAGTGGAATGCAGCCATCATTAATACACCTGTGCTTTCACATCTGTGTCAAGTGCTGTGGAGAAAAAAAAAAAAAAAGCCATTGTTCCCCCAGTTAAACTCAATCCTCTCCAGCTCTACCATGCAGGGAGTTCAGTGTCGAGTCCACTCTCTTTAAGAAAAAGCAATCTCCTTCGTATCGCGTTAAAGCTTGAGTGCCATTTCAGCATAAAACGCCAACTATGCAGCTTTCCACCTCGACCGACTTCCCTTTTCGCAGCCCACCACCTACTCATTCTCCTCACAACATCAATCCCATTTCCTCATTCTCCTCTCTGGCGATATCAAATTGCTTTCATTTCAGCGCAACCTTGATATTCGATTGAAGGCCGACATCATTCTGCTGTGTCAGAGCCAAACGTTGAATAGGCATTTCACCTCAGAGGGCTTTCAGGTGACACATCACATTCTTTTAGTGGCCACGTTGGAGGTCTTGAGCCCGCAGGCGGCGCTTGTCTGCGTCGCTTTATCGCCGATTCATCTGATCAGTTTTCTGTGTTTTGATAATGTCACGCTATCTCGTCTGCTAAATGTCACCGTTTTTTTTTTTTTTGCCAGCGTGAGATTCCCATGCTTGTTAAGAGAAGCAGTTGTTTCAGACGATCATAACCCAACGAAATTCACACAAAAAATCGAAACGGTGACCTTTTTTGTCTGTGCTTTTACTTGAACTGTAGCTGATAGTTTTTCCATCGGTATTATTCGATGCTATCTAATTGTCTGTTGCACTGTGGAACCTTTAGCCAGGCTATCGTCATGACGCTGGGGATGGCGGTGTTGGTTGGCTTTTCTTTTGGTCCGGGGTTACGGGATTAGGGTGAGGATGGATGGATTGAGAGGTCATTTGTTGCAGATATCTGGATTCTAATGACTAGTGACTCATCATATAGTGTTACCAGCAGGTCAGAAATATCTCAAAAATGTACAAAATGAGCTGGCATATAATTCAGCACAGACAGTCTCAGTGCCAAGAGGAGGAATCCTGATCGTTTGGATGATGACATGACTTTTCTACCATTAGTGGTTTGGAGTGAAATGTCTTTTGACTGATGACAGTATGAATTCTGTACAGACATGCATGTCTCCTTCAGGATGAATCGTAACAATGCTGGTGACCCTCTGACCTTTACATTCAAAGTTTTAATTAGTCCCAAAATTAACAGCAGTCCCGCAATTCTGAGCTGTGCATTGAGTTTTGTTTTGTTTTTTAAACATATTGGCAAATGTCAACACGTTAAAGAAAGATCTTGAACAATTAGGATGTATATAAAAGACAGATGTAGCCTCTGGATCTTAAAAGTGAAACCAATGCACAAGTGCATGCCAGCATTCTTTCTAACTACCAGCAGGAGGTGACTCCTCGAGTTGCGAAAGGAAATCTTGTTGCATAAAAGTTAAAAGACGTCATGACAAATTCACCCTATTTCTCTCTTGATTTGTTACCTCAGTAAACATTTTCCTTATGAATTAATGTTCTCAATTGCTAGTTTTAAGTGTCCTTTAATGCAGCACGATGCACATGTTGGTAATTCTTTTTCTATTACAGTAAAATATACGATAAAAGAGGGTATGCTTAGGTGCATGACTACCAAGTAAATATATTGTATGGGTGTGCGTAGTATCCTCAAGTTCCCCTTCATATCCAGTTTTTAAAAGACCAAGATGGCGATGGCTTTAAAATGGTAGTCCACAAAGCGACGAGTGGCCTCATGGTCACTACGTCCACTGTAGTAAACAATTTACTCGGCCTGAGCGCTAAAAACAATTGAGATATGCATTGTCGATATGTATTAAAGACACTTAGGTCAGTAATAATCAGATCAGTTTCACCCAACTACATTGGAAACCACCTTGAAAACACATAACAAAAAAAACAAAGTTCATCTGCATGAACAAATCATAAGCGTAGCGTGGGGTACCACCCAGAACCTTAACCTCAACAGGGTGCGGCAGCTTGGACTTGTGTTTTTGTTGTTGTATGAACATCACAGTGATGTATGTAGCTTAATACGTGGGCTAAATTAAAGCAAGGTGGTTAAATTTCAATAAAAATTTTCTTTACCTCAAATTACCAGAAATAGCTCATGTAAAGTTAGCATTTAGTTTATCAATATGGACTGAACTGAAACATTTGACTGTGATCCGTTTTTCCGCTGCACCATCGTTTCCCTTTTTTTTAATACATGGTGACCATTAGCATGTTAGCATTGGCCTAGTGAGTTAGCTCGCCGCACCACTTGTGCCGCGTCACAGAGCTGCTAACGTGGCTACAAACTCTGTCATGTGGAATAAAATCTGCTATTTTCAAGTTGGATTTGTGCCATTTTATTTTGTGTAACTAACTGAACATGCAGACCATCAAAAGGCCTTTGTGTTATCATGCAGTCGGTGTGATGAACAATTTAGCAACCGAGTTCACAATGTAATTAAAGTTATTTTTTTTCCTAAAGGCTGCAGGCTCTTAAGTATTGCACTTTATGCCCGGGGGCTACATATTTTGTCATTATTTTTCTCTCAGCCAATAGCCGCCTCTGTATAATGGTGCCATTCATAATGGCTGGGAGCTTTATGATTCCCTGTTCCTCGCCTCATCTCCTTCTAGTCCTAATCAGCGAGCTACACTTCAACATACTGTATCATTAATGCTGCACACAGAGAGGTGAGAGGCAGCGAAGGCAACACTGTCTTTTCCTTTTTCAACCGAAGCTTACCTCTGCACACCCTGTAATGCAGCTTGGCTTAACTTGTAGAGGAGATAAATCTACCCAGTGGCAAAAGCAGCCCCACTGGTAGATCCTGTGAAATGTTTGATTAATTCACACTTCTCTTGCCCACACTGTCATATTTAGACGATAAGGCATCCCAAGAGAAGTGGTCTTTGCTCCTAATCCCACCTCGATTGGTGGATTTAAATGTCACCCGTCCTTTGTTATGGTGATTGTAATTTAATTGTGGGTTAATGGTTCTCTACACAGTCTGTTGTCTGGCCCCTGCATGTCACACATATAGAGTGGGGTTAAGCCTGTGGATGATAGGTAGGAGGGAGGGAGGAAAAGCTATTTAGAGACTGTTGTAATTACTGTTTCAATCGTACCACACTAAGTCAGGGCCAGACGCAACAAGCCTGAAATCATCCTGACAGGCCGGGGGGAGGGAAGAGCAGGGTGAGGTGAGAGGAGGGAAGGGAAGGGGATGGGATGGGAGAAAGGGAGTCAGGAGAGGTGAGGGGGTGGAAGGATCGAGGGGTGGGGGTGAGGCAGAGAGACAGACAAGGAGACGTGGACGGAGAGTGTTGTCAATACAGGCGCAGAGTGAAAATCCACAGATTATCTCGGTGCACTGCCTCAAATTTGAACCCAGGCGGAAATGTGAAATGACATTTTCCGAGAAAAGCGCAGGGTGATGGGGTTGGATGTAAATCTGTTGCTTGACAGTTTGTGGTTGTCAGAACCGGCGTGATGTTTGATAATCCTGAAAAACGGGGAGAGCAAAGGAGGGCTTTTTCGTTCCCTCCTGCTTCAATGCACTTGACTTTAACAAAATAGGGCAACCCATGCTGGCATATGTGTCCGTGTGTGTGTGTGTGTGTGTGTGTGTGTGTGTGTGTGTGTGCTCATTTGGACTGCAATCAAGGCCCTGACAGATTTGCGCAGTCATTCCAGCCGTATACATCGCTGCCCTCGCTGAGATCACACGCGCCAACATCCACACAATCACACCCTTCCACTTAACACCCAACATCATCTCCTCGCTCCCAAAAAATCTGCTGGTGTGTTTCCACATGGTGCATCAAAGAGACAGAGGCTGAGAGATCAAAGACTTCCCCGGCTGTGCTCTTCTGCTCGGCTCCTCTCAACTCCTAATGCAAATGCGTGCCAGGCAATCAGGCAGCGAAGGCAGGCAGGCATGCATGCGGTGTCTGGGTAACCATCGACCCTCCAACCAGCCGCGTATCTGTGGAAACCTGCTCTCGCTCGCCGCCGCTGCTCTGTCTGGTTATCGGCTCCTCTGTCTCTTTCTCATTCTCAGCATTCTCCATCATTCCCCCCCTTTGCTGTGCAGCTCTGTCCGCTGTTTGTTTTTCTCTCCGGTGTGTTCTTTACCGAACGGCACAGATGCAGAAATCCATTAACAGGCTTTTTTGTATCGATCTTTTAGGTATTCTTTCTTTTTTTTTTTGTCCTCTGAGAAAGGGAGAAAATGATCAGATACTACGGTCAGCGTTCCTCTTTATGTGTTCAACAAGAAAAATACACCCCTGTGTGATTATGTGACAGAGCTTTAATCAGCTCGAGGCCTACAGTACCTGTCCACCGTGATGTAACAGATGAATCACGCCACTGAACCCTGCTGTCTGCGGTCCAGTTTTCCAGACGTGAACTAAACCGGGTCTTAACTAGTCTAATCTAACTCCTGGCTTGTTTTGCAATATTTGTGAACACTGCAGTTCTTGTAGGATCAGAGAGGCTTTATGGAACTGGGCTAACCATCCCCGCTGATGCCCAGCCTCGTGTTGCTTAAGCAGACAGATGAAACCATCACGGCTGCGCTGTCTGTCACAACAAGCAGCGCTGTAACCTGAATAACATTCAGTTTGATGACTAAGCTCAATTATCATCCTCGTCATCCTCTGCATCCTGTTACGACTGCGGTCAGGACTGAAATGACCTTGAAATACAGCATTTTTAAAACTCTTCTCAAACAAACATTGCATGCTTTCAAGTTGGGGACAAAGACACACTTTTTAAAATAATAAAAAAAAAGATAAACAGCAGATGGGCCTTTAAAAGAAGAGATACAAGGACACACTCTCTCAAATTGTAAACTGTATTGCTGTGGTTGAACAAAAGCCAAACAGCCTAGTATTATGCTTCGACTATGGTGCTAATTGTAAGGGTGTGCTGAAATAAATGATGATTTTTTGGACTGATTCCTGTAGATTGCAAAGCAACCATGCTTTGAGATATTTACAGATGGCTGACAAAATATGAAAAAAAGCCCCTGACCCCTACAGTGAGGGGATCTGGTGGCTCTGTTAAGCTGTGGGGGACTTTGCTGGCATGGTTTGGCGCCACATGTCCCCTCAGAGGAGAAGAATCACTGCAAATCAAAAGAAAGTTGTTCTGAGTGGTCACCGTTATCTGGATGACAATATCTCAAACATGGGGGCATGAAGGGTCAGCGAATGGTTTGATGTAAATGATGTGAATCATTTGTTATAGTCATCAAATCTTAACCCAGTTGAGCACTTATGGGAGATTGTGGACTAACATGACTGAGAGCACTTTATACGACCATGATCAAAGCACCAAATTTGGGAATATTTTTTTTGGAAGAATGGAGTTCAGTAGACTCTTACTAAGACGCTAAAATTAGACAAAAGCCAAATCAAAAGAAATGAAGGGTGACACAGTAAAGTCTGGGGTTTTTTTTAAATGAAAAAAAAAGCATGCTACATTTAGGAAATAACAGTATAGTGAAATTGGCTTTCATGCTTATGTAAGTCTGCAGAGGGTTTTCCTGGCTCAGAATGGGCCTTTGGGGGGTGACTACACACCACAGTAAGCCTCATCAGTCCACGTACAGTCAACGCAATGAGTCACTGTTACCCTAGTTTGCAGAAATCTATGCATTTTATTTGCCACTACAGACCGTTAGATAAACACAAATGCCTTTTATGTTTCAGTAAAGTAAATCCCAATTAACAAAGCTGGTTTAAAAAAAAAAAAGTCTAACAAAACAAGTAGAAATGTGGGCTGAGTTTATGTATGGTTGACATCAAACGTTATGAGAGAAAAACAAGAACCACACCCAAATGTTTACTGTGCAGCACATCCTCCGCCCTCTTTTATATAAATGAGGTTGCTTCAGATAAAAAAAACAAACAAGCATATTACATTTTTAATAGCTGCTGTAAAGATATCTTTAGGATAAACATATACATAAATCATCAAGTCGTCTGCATACATTTAGATATTAACTTCTTGATTACATAACAGAAAGCTTCAAATAAGATAACAATCAGAAAACTGTGTAATTTTCCTTTAATTCAAACATTAAGTGGTCACACAAGGCTTGCATAATCCCAACCATCAGGTGTCTGGCATAAAAATAATTTCACACGTTTTTCTTTGCGATTGGCTCACCGCTGTGAAATCCTGCTTAGAAACTCTGGTTAACTCGATGCCATGCAGCCCAAAGGGTCATCAATTACAGAAAATGACTGCGAGAAAATGACTATTGCTTGAGGCTGGACTGGTAGCCAATGGCAACAAAAAAATGTACTACTTGAAAAGGTAGAGCCCCTCTGGGAGGACCACTCCAGCAGCAAAACATTTTGTACCTTGAAAAGGCTTACCTTCAAGTTCAAATAATACTAATACATATAATGTGCCTTTTGCTGTCAGAAATGTCCGTGTACCTTTTAGTACAACAAAAAGGTATGCAGGAAACACCTTAAGGAGCACTAGAGACCTTTGGCACAAGTACCTGTGTGTATAGAAATGAAAATATGATGTTTGAGTTGTGCTTTATGGTACTTTGAGCATGAGTGCCTGCATAGTGAAGCCCATCTTTTATGTTCGTTGTTTGTCTCCTCCTGTTTTTCTCCTCTTCCTTTTGTTTTTCTGTCATCCTGACTTTGCGCCGGTGTGAACCGCGGAGACATGATTGTAATATTTACAGTGAAATTAGTCTCAGAACACACAAAGCCTGTTAGACGATGAGCGCAGATGATTGACGAAGGGAGGCGGGGAGAGAGCCTGATGATTGATATAATGATGGTCTTCCGCTCCTTCTTGCTTCCACTTAATTGTATCGCTTGTCAATCAGCCGACTGTCGGCTCAGTCACACGCAAATCAATTCGAGTATTCCTAGAAGAGATATCTGCTCTTTCCGCTGCCCCTCCTCGCTGAGATCTATATCTGTGCCGAGTCGGGCCCATGAATAATTTTTGATTGACATGTCGGGGAGACAAGAGACGGGAGCCACATAATGTCACCTCGTTTGTGTCAATAACATATTGACAGCAGCACAAATAACAGCCTGGAGGAAATGTCTGTGTTAAATGTGAAATATTAGTGGGAAATTGGCTGCGTATGCGAGTTAATGTTGAATCATCAAGCTGCATCAGCCGTGGGAGGTGAAAGAATAAGATTGAAGGAGCTTTGTCTCGAGACGGTGAGGGCATGTCTCAACAAAAACCCCTATTATCCTCGCTTAAAGCTGCCCGGATTTGTCCTCGAACGAGGCGAAAACTGTTAAGAAAACAGGACAATTCAAGGATTGTTCCCGAGCAAAACGGAAGTTAAACAACCGCAACTCCTGTGTGGACAAAGCTCCGTTTTTTTTTGCTTCTTAGTTTTATTTATGTATACTTAGTTGGCTGCTTGTTTGTCAGCGTGTGCACTTGTTTATCGTGTGATATTGTATTTACAAGGTCTTCTGTGCCTCTGCTTTGACTTTGAGTCAGGACATAAAGGGATGAACCGCCTCAGGACAAGTCATTCAGAGTGCAGATGATGAGTGCAGCTCTGTTTGGAAATAAGGGAAAGTAAGCGTCATGGCGGCTGAACCGGGGACTAGAAAGTGACGCGTTAACTCTCAGAGTGCCGGCCCACATATCTGGACACTTTGGCACCTGCAGCGAACCGTGACGTCAAGCACTGAAACACTATCACAAGAATAATTGGATATATACGGTGCATATAGTAATTAAACCCTTTCCGGTATACGTGTGCAGCGTACAATAGGAAGCACATGAATGAAACCACTGTGGATGTATTTTCATGCATTACATGTTTTTAATCCAAAGGTTATATCAGATATAAGCAGCTTTTAGATAGTATAAATAACAACCAGCTCTGGGAGCACAAATAAACAATATTATAAATGTAATAAAAATAGCACACGGCAGAAATTATCTCCACTCCTGTATGTTTGTTTCCCAGCAGTCTTAGCCATTTATTCCAGCTTCTCATAACCAGAATATGAGTCTGCCTGGACTGTAAAAGCAACACAGCGTGCACACGTTTCATGAATAATCACTTGTAAATACACTGCCTCACCTCAGGAAAGATCTGAGTTCTATTCATTTGTGCCGTAGCACGGGTTCTGTTTGATAGTTGAATAATTAATCTAAAATTATAGCCACTGTGAGATGTGTGATTTAGCAGCACTCACGTCTTTGCTCGGCTCTCTGCCTAATATTTTGACTGTCTCCCCTATGTTGTAATTGCTTCACCGAGGTATTATTGTGCGCTATGCAGTAGTTTTTTTTTTTTTTTTNTTTTTTTTTTTTTTTTGCTGAAGCAGAAATGAAAGTGTTTGTGGGATAAAGGGAGAAAAAAATAAGCAGAAAAAATGTGTGTACAGTTTAAAAGAAAACCCACAGATGAAGCGCAGACAAACACGCAGCGGTCATCGCGAAGATGAAATTTGCAGTAGCTGAGCATGTTTTTTTTCAAAGTGCAGCGGAGTGATACATACTGTATGATCAAATGGAGCCCTCAGGCTTAGTAATCTGACCCCGTTCCCGTCTTCCCTACAGAGACTGTGACACAGTGTAGGCCAGCGGTGCAGCAGGATCATGTAGAGCACAGCCGCACTGTGTTTTCTACCAAAATGTGTTTGCTTGTTTGTTGCATTTGTGCAGAGATGGAGGAAAAACTGACAAAACTGAAATGCTGAAATTTCCCGTGATGCTGCCAAAAACCTTAGAAAAAAATACCACATATGCAACAGTAATTCTCACTAGTTTTCAGTGTCACTGGATGCCAGATGAATGCACCTGTATTCATTATAGATAAATTAATGATAAGAGCAGAATGGGTGCATTAGCGCTGCACCGTGTCCCGAAAATGTTTGAAAAATAGATGTGTGCTGCGAGAGAAAGCACACTTGGACAAAGCTGATATTTTTTGCCTGATTCACGTCATTCAAAACGTGCTGGAAAATACTAAACCTAACCAATTTTTTTATTTTCCAAAGGTTGAAAGGATCGATACTAAACGGGGTGGGGCCACGGGGCAGCCATGCTCACTGGGTAATTCAGTGGCCTGGTTCCAGTAAATCTTTACTTTTTATTCAGACCTCCAAAACGGGTCGTACGCCACTTTCCCTAAATAGTGTTTTTTTTTCCTTCTGTATTGCCTAAATTTTATGCTTTCAAATGCATGTCAGCAGAAGAATAGCTTACATGAAAAGGCTTTTTACCCACATCACTGAAGCATAAAGACTACAAAATGAACACCTTTTTTTTTCTGTAGATGGAGGACATATATTTCTCAATCCACACAGGACAGGAAAAAAAACCTTTAGCTTCCTGGGCTAGGTGAATTTTATGTTCTGTTGTGTTTTGCCTATTTATTGCTACCTTTTAACCAAACAAGTGCATCTATTGAATATGCTGTAATTAAAAATAAAGTCTAAAGTGACCCACTCTGACAGAAATCTCTGAACCGCAACAGCTGCCAGTTGGTTTCAAAGGCATGCTGTCTTTAAATACAATTGCCAAAATCATATCATACCATTTATCGGGCCAGAAACTGTAAAAAGAGGAAGAACCATCAGATTTTTCACTTTCCAACGATCTTTGAACTACGCACCTGTGATGAACTGTTTCAGCGGAAAACTTGACCAAACTAAGCTTAAAACTGTGATTTTTCTTCAACATATTTCATTTAAAAAGTCAAAAATAAATACATCAAAATTCTGCTTGTCTCTTCAGTAGTAACTCAGCATTGACCTGACGTCATGTGACAAAAACTCACGGACTTTTTAGCTGAATAGGGTTGAACTGCAGGCAGTGTTTGCACAGAGCAGAGAGGGGACAAAAATAGAAACAAAGTGAAAATGAAAGTATGTAAGTATCTGTGGTCTGCAGAGCCACCATCGTGTTTTCCACCACTATGGGTAAAATGCATGGGCAGCTGGAAAAAATATTATACATGTTGATTTTATTCAATTTTCTGTGCACTGAATAATAAAAGAAATTCAAATTTGCTGGTTACATCTCTGAGTTCTATCGTCCAGCTGTTGTTGTGCTGCTTCCATAGAAGTGCACGACTTTATATTGCAGTGAAAAATGTAAAAAAAAATGTGACACGACTAAGGAAATGCCTGGAAACCGTTTGGCTTTCAGAGGGTTGAAACTGGGTGGAGGTTGTCATGGGCAGTAATGTAATGGACAATAAGCAGTGAGGACCTCAGGCCCACTGCACTATAGAAAAACATGCTATGAGCACTCAGTAACAGAAGCTTATGCAACTAATCTATGGTCTGGTGGGGATGGGGGGAAGCTGCACATGAGCAAGTATCCCAGTGTAATAATCTGTTAATGTACCGTTGGCGTTCTGCCATCCCCAGTAATCAGCCATCATGATTTATATAGAATGTAGATATTAGTAAGCCGGTGATGTTTTCCACTGTAATATATTCTAGCACAGAGTGCCACTTTTAATTAGTGTGGCTGATTAGCATAATCGTTAAGTTTTGACATGTCTGTTAGATGCAGGCGTTCCCTCCTTTTCTTATATTTAACACTTTCCCCCCACATCAGCATCGATTCCTCTCAGGACTTCCACACTCTGCACCGCTGCAACTGGAATCTCAGTGCGTCTGTAAGAGTCACAGTGTCACTGCCACCTCTGATGACTTTGGACATGCAGTGTCCCAGCTGTCATTGTATTCATACTATAGTTGCCTAGGAGACAAGGAGGAGGAGAAAGTGCTCATATTTCTTTGTCTCCTTGTGCGGATCTGTGAGTGTGTTTGTACTGGTGTGTGCGCACACAGCACGGGCGCCGCTCTGCAGCGATACTGTTACCATGCCGGCCCGAGCAGGGCCTTCCAGGAGCAGGAATGTCTTGACGATGTTATCAGTCAACTGCCCCCTTCAGGTAAATGTTATCAGCTCTAATGTTGTGCTGAAGGAACGATAACGCGGCGTCGCAGCCAGCAGAAATGACAAGCCAGCATCCAATCTGCATATCAAAGCCTCGGCTAAATTCCTCTGCCATCTGTGTGCGTGTGTTTGTGCGTATGTGCCTGAGCAATCGCCAGAGCCGCACACGCACACGCATCTCGGCTGCGCTGCCGTTTCTCTGCAAGTCTCAGAGGCAACTTGTTCCTGTTCCGCCACAATCGCAGTTCATCCCAGATAAACTCATTGTTTCTTCGAAATAATCAAAAAGAAGCTTAATTACTCAGCCATAAACATTTGAGTAAAACCTGATCCAGCTCTGTGTTTCTGTGGGAATGCAGGCTTTGATACCATCTGTCATCTTGTCTCTTTGCTTTGAAGGAGCTGTCAGTCAGAGGCAGGCTTTACTCTGTCTCTGTCTGGACACCGTACACCTCAACAGTTGATGTGACAATAGCAGCAGACATTGATTCATCTGGCCTGAGCCCAGCCCGCCACGGTGCCATTCTTATTGAGGACCAGATGTTGGAAGCAAAGGCGTACAGAGTATTTCATGACTCCAAACGAGCCTTTAATGTCTTCCCAGAGTCGATGAACAAGGGGAGAGGAGGACAGTATCGTGTGTCCTGTATTTGTTGCTGCATACTTGCCTTAAGTGGAAACACCGGCGCTCAGATTACAAACATTCAAGAGGCTGATAGTGAACTTTAAAAAAAAAATTCACACCTTTAATCGTGACTTCTTTTTATTTTCATTTTTTATCTGTGGCTCGTTTGCTCTCTCGATACAAGAAACAAGCAAACCAGGAATTGTAAACAAAACTGACTCACATCACGCTCGTGTACTGGACAGAGTTTTGGAAACCTGTCATCTTGTGAAGTAAGGATATTTGGCAGCAGGGCGAATCTAAATAAATCGAACTTTAGTCCCTTTAACCGGAGCCAAGAATCGTGGACTCATTTACTTTCTGGGCTGTTTACGCCAGTTTGGGAGCGTATGAAGAAATAACTGAGTCCGAGCATCAGTCCTGACTGCAATTTGTTTTGCTCGACTGTCAGATGTCAGCGTTTGTCTTCGTATGCTATTCAAACCTTGCAATTATGGGCTGTTTTCAGCTGTTGGCCTAGATACATTTTTATTGCTCAGAAACAGCAGCATAGTTCTGTTGGACGAAGCTTTTTCACCTGTATTGGTTGAGGCTGGCTGGATGCTTGGGCCAAACAAACTTGTAAACGCTCCCAGAGTTTGAGGAACAGCTCCAAATGTGTTCAGGGTGAAAGTGTTTACACTGTAAAAAATATCTGTTAAAAAAAAACTTTCAAAACCGGTGAACAGTAACAACAACGAACAATGTTTTTTGCTGATTTAAATACAGTAAAAATTGACAATGTAAAAGAACAAATTATTATCAAAATACAGTTGTTGTTGTTTTTATATGGACGTTATTAGTGATGCACGATATTAAAGTTTCTGGCCGATATCCGATATGAAGATTTCTGATATCGCCGATAACAGATGTTACCGATGTCGATATCCAATTTTTTGTTCACACTCAAAAATGAGTATAAGTAAGCACTGTGAGAACATGAAAACTATTCAGAAGAAGCCCATAAAAATTAGACCACATAGTCTTCTTCATTACGTTCTTCATTACTTCTTCATATGCTACGCAAAACATATTTAAACATATTTAATGTTAAAGGACCATTTAAGTAAAAACATCTGTGAAATAGCAGCAAAATCAAATGTAGAGACGAAGGCGCTAATGTTAGACAATCATCGGTTTTTCACATCAGCTAAATTTGTTCATTGGACCGATACCGATATATCAGAAAAAACACTAATATCGGCCGATACCGATGTGGTCACTGATATATATCGTGCATCCCGAGACATTATGTATAGTTTTGTCCTGTTTGAGTTTTTTTTGTTTTTTTGTTTTTAAGTTTAGTTTTTTTAACAGTCAACATGTAAAATAATACTATTTTTCCACAGATTTTCTTAGATATTATCAACAATTTAACAAAATAAGACACATTTGTAAAATAAATGCATTGCAGTTAAAAATTGTTCAGATTAGGGATGCACGATATATCGGCGACCGCATCCGTAACCAATCAGATCGTGCTTTGGGTGAGACCACAGAACGGTGACTACTGACAGAAAGAAGTAATTTATAAAGAGCTAAAGATGTATATTTGTCAATTATTTCATTAGGAATCGTTTAAAGAAATAAGGATACAGATATTTGAAAAAGTGCTGAATTGTTCGACCACGAGTTAATAAAGTATTATTGGTGAGGTGTAACCAATCAGATCGTGCTTTAGGTGAGACCACAGAGAGGTGACGACTGACAGAAAGAGGTCATTTATTAAGAGCCAAAGATGTATATTTGTAAATTATTTTATTAGGAATCGTTTAAAGAAATAAGGATATAGATATTTGAAAAAGTGCAGAATTGTTCGACCACGAGTTAATAAAGTATTATTGGTGGGGTGTAACCAATCAGATCGTGCTGTGGGTGGGACATTGGTCAAAACCACAATGTGGTGACTACTGATGAAGACAGCTGCATGAAGATAGTGCATTTTTAAATTAATTTATGTCATTTAAAATCAGTTACATAACATAACAATACAGATCATCATAAAGATGCTGGATATTGGATTTGATAACTAGCTGGGCCAATAATCAGTCAACTGCTGGTGTGTTAATTATAGAAGGAGAAAGCACCTTCATTTAGAAGGTGAAACTCCAACAGAACACACAGTATCTGTTTCCTTGCCGCTGGCACAGAGCCAGCTCTGTGTTGAAAAAGTGTCCGACGTTTTATAGTGTGTTGAAGCTTCGGTCTGGTTTGCAGCAGAGCTCCAGGTTTCTCCTGTGATCTTCCTCCTTGCTTTCTGTCTTCACCTTCACTAGCCATTAAAGCTCCCTGTCTCTTCATACTGCCAGAAACTGATCCCTTTTATAAGCTGTAGTTAGTGTCAGGGAAAACACCTAAGGGGGATCATTAGACTGTAATGAAGCAGGAGGTAAAATACCATGTTCACCCGTCGCTCTCCTACATTCCTGATTGTCAGGTTTAATTATAACACTGCAAGGTATTTGGCTGTGTTTTTTTTTTCACTGCATTTATCTCATTTCTTTGAGTCACCCTCCACCTCTCTGTTTCGGTAGATGGACACTCGGTCTAATTAGGCTTTCTCTCCCCCTGAAGAGTCGCCCTCTGAGGGAGGCATTCAGGAACGTGGCATTATGGAGGCATGTTGTGATACGTAATTAGCAAACAGCAGAGTGGCAACTAGGGTTAGAGCGGGAAAGAGGTTGTGTGAACCACAGCTGTCAGCACTCTGCCTATGGTATAGACACCGATTAAACATCTGTTCCACAGTTCTGCATATTTGCAGGAACTTGATTAAAATAGAAAGTTGTGCTTTTACAATTCAATATCTGCATACTCCACCTCCTCCCCCCTGAGCCTCACCGCCAACATTCTCTTAAGAGGAAAAGAAGGAGGTTGGATAGTCAAAACAAGTGATGCAACCAGCCTCAGATGGGAAGATTAAAAAGCCACTCATAACGCCCAAGTCTCAACATGAATTGCTGCCTCACATGAAACAGAATGAAAAACAAAAAAAGAAAAAAAAGGTTGGATGTGCTCAAACAGCAGTCTTAGAAAGAAACATAATTTAAAAGTGAGGACAGCATGTAATTTGTTTCACTCGGGATGTGCTGCTTAAGTGGCACAATAATATTCTCAGACTGGGTCGCCCGTTTTTTATTGGCGTGCCTTCGCTGTAACTTTGTCTAACACTTAAGTTTCATTACAGTTTATAGGTGCTCTATCGGCACATTGATGCTCCCTGTTGGAACAAAAACAACAGCCGCCGCTGTAATGTGACAGCAAATGCAATAATATGGAGCCGTATTCTAGCCAGTCAGAGAATGAAAGGACCAATCTACTGACTAACATTAATTGTGCTTTAATATTTCTGCTTGAAGTTGTTATTGAGGCCTGTGGGGACCTCAACAAGCTGCAAATACAGAAGTCGTGTCTTCATCGCTGATATTTTGGCCCTAAAGCTATAGTTTACTGTACATTTTGAGTTCAATTAGCATTTATATGTTTCTATTTCACCAGCTTGCAAGTTGTGTACAGTGAGTTTTAGAGCTTTTCACTGACAACAGCTGCCTGCAAGAGGAAAGTTGTGAAACTATGAGCTAAAATTGCTGCAAAGCTTTATCAGAATCACAATCAGAAAAACTTTACTGACCCTGAGGGGAAATTGCTCCCATTTAAGTCTTAGTAATTTAAGCAGTAGAAGAAAAAAATAGTAGAAAAATATGTCCTAAAAATATGAACATAAGTAGAAAAGTATAATGTGTAAGAATGTGCATTGTACTAAGAAATCTCCATGGATTAATCAACAATGTCACCTTGTTTTGTCATTTTTGTTGTTGCAATCTGGCTCGATTTAAACGTCGCTCATTTAATCGGTCCTGCAGCGTGATAACTCACAATAAAACCCCGCCACATCAGTCCGTCACTTTCAGCGAGAATGTCTATTTCGGCCAAAACAAGCACAAAAACGACAGCAAGATTATGTGAATGTTGGGACTGTTTTGGCCCTATACCATCTCCCCGGTCCTACAGATTATTAATGTCAGTGGGGTGTGGATAAAGAAAGGATAAAGAAAAGACCATATGGTCGGGCTCACCAAAGGATTATGATTTGTTGTTGTTTGCAAAAAAGAAAAAAAAAAAAAGAGAGAGCGAGAGAGGAGGGAGGAAAAGTGACTTCAGCATTGTCAGACCCAGCGAGGAGAAAGCAGCTTGGCAAAATGGCACGGATTAGTGTGCAGAGAGAGCCAGAGAGAGAGAGAGAGAGAGAGATTCCCTACCAACTGTGATTCTGTGTGTTCAGTTAACTCTGTGCAGGAAGAGCGTGTGCGAGGGAGGGGAGGCGTTTTACGGTGTTTGCCCAGCGCTTATTCAAATATGAGCTTTGGAGTCTCAGTTCTTGTCCAAGCACGAGCGAACTTCAGAGGGGGGCGTGGCCGAGTCATCATTCAAAGTAATGGTCCGGTAAAATCACAGCCTGGAGTCTACTACGGGCCGGAACTTTCACCTTTAATTCCACATGTCCTCCCCTAATTCACCGTCCACGAACAGCTCAAGCAGGCAGAGCACTTTACACCGGCAGCATCCAAAACACTCCCCCTCCCCCTAAATATAAGAGTACAACTCATAATTTATTAGTCAGTCTGAAGAAGGGCTTTCACTTCTGTCACAGTGTGTAAGGAAACATTAAAAGCAGTTTGTTTGAGCTCTCAGCCACTATTCGCTCCTTTATTCAGCAGTGCAGTAATGGAAAAGCTGCAGCTAAGTGCAACAGGCTTAAGAAAAGAACTGCATATTAAATATACAAATTTACACAGATCCTCCATTTTTTTATTTTTTTTCCTCCCTTACGTACTTTTTATTCGCTAAATGAA